TATATCTGAATATGTGTTTTCTTCAATTATGAATGTACTATTTTGTGACAAAAATGTTTGTAAATCTCTAGTAAAAAATGCACGACATTTTTCTATGGAATATGTTTATGTTTTAGAGAGATCTTTTCATATATGACTTGCATGAATGTTCATTGCATCAATCAGATCCTTGGATGATGGAAGTGCTTTATTTTTCCTACAGTAAATTGAAAGAATTTTTTTCGGATAATGCTGCAAAAAAAAACCCTGGAATGATTACATAATATTTTTTTTAATAACGAAATACATCTTATAATAAACTGTAATTTCGTATTAGTTGTTTTTCAAGATTTTTCTATATCGAAACTAATGTATGGGCTTGACGATGAAACCAAAATATTGTCCAAGCTGAGCTTGAGTAATTATTATTATGAATACGAATACTAAAAAGTCAATCAGGTGCAAAAATTATTTAAAGAAAAACGACTCTCAGCGAGGATTTTCTAAGATATCTGCTGTTTTATTCATCCAAAGGTGAAAATGTTTTAATATGTCGAAGACTTTAGTCAAAAAGTAGACGGATTAAATTCTGATTCAATAGGTATACTCGACAAAAATAAATGTTTACAAGCAGTAACTGAAATACAGAAGTATATATATATATATACACATACGTAAATGATGTCTTACTTCCATGCATCGCTGCAGCTTACGAAAATATATAGCGGACGTCGGTTATTGAACAATTTGATCTATACGATCCAAAAAGACAGTGTAATCGATGTGCTTGATTAAAGCAAGAACAAAGCTAGTCGTTAACTAAATTTTGTCATTTAAATTGTGAATAATCACGTTTAAACGTAATTTGAATCTTCTATGAATTTATAGGAACAGAATCAGTCGTAGATTGGAAGGATGATCACGAAGAAAAAGTATCAGAAACAATCGTCTTATCTTTAATTCTTGATAATATCGATATAATAATAGTAATATATTAGAGAAATAAAACAGTTTTGAACTTTTGACGAGTGAGAATAGATTGATCGCATTCGTTATTTTGCCTAAGGTTTTTCTTTTTATTTTCTTGGGAACTCAATATTTTTCCGGGGATGTAACTTATGAGTACGTGATGCATCTCTACTTTCGAAATTCGTCTACAAAACGTCTCTCTGAAAACTTGGACAGTAATAGATTGGCTCACGAGTACTCATGATGGGAAAAAATTCTTACATATGTCTCTTAAAAATGACGTCTCTTTTCATGAACATTATAAAAGATTTTAACCAAATCTTATAAATTGTTTAACTAGAAAAACTAAAGGATAAACCAAAAGTTTCAACTCCTCAATAAATCGATGATACCTTTGACATACTTGTATATGGTTAATTCATCGAAATATAGAATTTTGTAGAGGAAGATTATTGCTGTCATCTGAAAAAAAAAACTTCAAAATGAATAAATGTAGTCTAGTCTTATGATTAATTTTACTAATTTTGAATAAATATTTTCGTAATATATTTATGTGTTTTGCCTGCATGAATTTTATATGAGACTTTATCATTTTCATGAAATAATATTTATCATATTTGCTAATTATAATCATAGTTTTGTAAAACTCTCCATACTATTATAAAGATTTTCATACTAAAATTCTTATTGTACGAAATTTACTATTTCGATTTTATTCTCTATTTTACAGTTTTTTTTTTAATACTCCAGTATTCATTTTAAAAACCACTAAAAAAATGCTAGATGAAAATAAGATGAAGAATGAAGGTCGATATTTCTCGACTATGTTGTCTTTTCAGATTATTCGAATTGTAATGAATAATTATAAAAATATAAATCGATCAGTTTCAATAAATCTGAAAATAAATGGTGATAATCCTTATATTGATGGTAAATATTAAATGGATGCACGAAAAACAGATATGTATGATATCAATATAAAATGCTACCAAAGAAACTTACAGTAGAGAATGAACGTATTGTCATTACGAATAATTTCAAGGTTTGTCAGCAAATAAAAATACTTCAGAATTATGAAATTATTATAAACCAAATGAAAACAGTCAAAGTAGATTATTTTCATTTGTTTAAAAAGAAAAACAATTAGACATGATTATATTTAAGATACTTTTATATCAGGAAATACATAAAACTACAAGAATCATATTAAATATTAGAATAGCTTCTGAAAAAATATTTGGACAAACAAAATCTAGATCAAAGAACTACATCTCAAAAACTGAACATAAGCGAATCATCAGTTCAAAAAATTTTGACATACAATTTGCATTGAAAATCTTATCACACCATGTATACATTCAAAATTACTTAAATAAAAGTTACAGCACGATCGGCTAGTGCAGAAGTTTATTTTAAAAAAGTTGGTAAAATATGAAGATTTAAATATTACAAATGGGACAATATGAGAATTACAAACTTTTGTGATAAAATAAGAGTCAGATAAGAAAAAAAAATAAATGCAACAACAATATTTTTCATAATGGAGTTTCGCTGAAACACTTGTCTTCAAAACACAATTACGTTTGTCAAGATGATACATATTGTAATCGCCATACACCAGCTGGCACAAAATTATTTAAATAAAATATACCTGAACGTGTCGTTACGGATGATCAAGCTGTCAAGATGGATGTCAATAGAAAACATACGGGATATTATTCGACAAGATTTAGATAAATATGAATTTAATTGATTACACGATATCAATATATATATATATTGATATATTGAAAAATTTTAGTCAAGAACAATATGAGAAAATGATTAATAGTATTTCAACAAGATTAAGAGTAGTTGTTCAAAAATAAGTTTAAAACATCACTAAATTTCATTGTTGATATTTATACAAAAAGTTAGTATGACAAACTTATAAATCATTTAGATTTTGTATAGAAAAATTTTCTCAAATAAAAATGTAAGATATGAAAATATTCACTAAAGATTAGTAAAATAAACATAACATTCGATTATATTTCTGCATCTCAAAATGTTTTCTTTTCAGATGCTAGCTATAATCTTTTTCTACAAAATTATATATTTTGAACAATTAACTATATATATATATTTGTCATGAATATGATCAATTTACTGAGAGGAAGCAAAATTTTTTGAATTAACCTTTATAATTAGATTGAAGATAACTTCTTAAAATTTTAGGACTTAATAAAAATCAGACTTTATCAATTTCTTCCGATATCCACCAAGTCATTCCTATTTGTTTACAGAATGAACACAAAATTATCTTTGTAATTTAGTTGTTCTTCGATTTTTACGTCACTTACAATACAATCAAGTCTTGTTTATCTTATCTTGATCTTTGATATCTCGTATACTTATTTATAAATGCTAAACTTAATAAATAAATTCAATCACAAAAAAATTTCCTGTGATTTATACTTGTTTCAGCAGTAATAGTCTATTACTAAATAAAAATCGTTCAGATATCATTGATCTATATGACCAAAATCTTGTTGCTGCTGCTAGTTATTTAACTAATGAATAATGTTTGACTATAACAACCTCTTGTTAGGATATTACGTATTTAACTGTTTTCGAACAATATAATAATATATATTCCTTCTGAATTAACAAATCTCATGAAATAATAAATCGATAAAAGATCGTTTTTGATTTTTTTCATATGTCATAAAATTCAATTTGTTTTTAAACTTCAAAAACAACAAATTGAAACATTCATATTCATCTTTATATTGACATTTAACAAAATTTTGAAAACAATGCATGATTGAACAAAAAAATCCTACACCACTAGCATCAACTTCCTTAGAAATTTTTATTGAGTAATCAAATATATTTTTTTCTTAATTATCTGCATACACTATGAGTTACATTTAAACATCTATTATATTCATTGATATGAAGTAATCATATATTAATTGAAAGATAACTGGATGAAAGTTATTTATTACAATTCTAAATACAACAAAAAATTTTTTAAAATTCCATTTTAATAAATGGCTATTACGGAATAATAAAAATTTATTAGTTGCCAAAAATATTTTAGAAAATGAATTTCAATTGAATTCAAATCATTTATAACATGTGTAGTAAAATATTAATGTTCACTCAGTGTTACAAATATTATCAAGACAACTATATAAAGAAATATAAATGAATGAATCTTGATAGACAGATACGAAAGCAAATGCTTATTAGGGTTTAGCTGTCATATATTTAAGAATTTATTTGATCAACTTTAGCACATATTATTGATACATCTACAGGTTCTATTCTTAAAGTAGAACCAGAAAAAGTTTAGATAAAAAATGATCATATATGTATATAGGTTTTTTTGTTGTGTTGTTAAAATGTGCATTTACTAAATAAAATATAATGTAAACATTTATGATGATTATTTCCCTATTGTCTTTTGCAATGAATCATACAAAACGTATTGTTTTTTTCTTTAGAACACAAAATAATCACATTAGATGACATCATTTTTCATAATATGTGGTGACTATGATATATATGTTAATTTCTCTCTTGTTAAATTCAATCAATTTCTAAGTTTCATTTTGACTTCTTCAATCAATTAGTTGAGTATTATCACATTGAAAACATATTTAGAGCGAATTATCTTTCAGTTTATAAAAGCTACAAGAATTCTACATCTTAATTTCATACGTTCACACAGGAAATATTTTCTCTTTCAATCTATGGCCATTTAGTAAAGAAAACAAATATGCATATTTTTTTAGTTCGTCAACTTTATATTATCTTAGGCAAAATAATAATCACATCGAAACAATACAGAAAAGCATAGCGTACAGAGGTTGACATAAAAATAAGCATTTAGAAATAAGGAAGCAAAATAAAAAAAAAACTATAATGAAGCACATACAATAAATACTTCTCACATACTCTAGCTACTATAGTTTTTCGATCTTTCATTTTCAATTGGCTATTTTGATCTTTCAATGAGGGACAGATGGTATGTATGTTTCGTATGATTATGTACCAGTAAGTTTTTAAAGATTTTGAGCTAGAAATAGATAAATACAATTTAATTATGATATCAATAAAATGATAAAGTTCATTCAAACAAACACTTACCAAGGAGATTGCGAAATTCATCGCGATCAAGACTGCCATTATAATCAGTATCAGCATTAAGGAAAGCAGCATCAGCTCCACTAACAACAGCAGATTGTCCCAATAATCCACCATAACCAACACCATAGCCAGCACCAAGACCACCAGCAACGAGACTGCTGTTCCATCCACCAACTCCACCTAATGCATAGCCTGATGCACCATAAGCACCACCAAGAGCAAGACCACTATCAATAACTTCACCTCCAGCGACAAGACCAGCACCACCTACTAAACCTGATGAGGCACTCCATCCTTGACCATAGGCACCAAGACCAGCATAACCAACAAAACCATGTGCTGACTATAAAAAGAAATACATGGTTCACTTAACAGAAAAAAACAACCAAAATATTATGATAAACATACGATATCTTCAACAACACCAGCAGAACGAGCTCGGGCAACAAGTGAAGCACCATCAAGAAGGCTAGCACCATATGTTTGAACATAGGCAGCTGGACTACCTGAAACAACACCAAGGCGTTGGAAGTTACGAACAATGCGAGCTGGAGCTTGTTCGTATTGAATGATAACATTGCGTGGAGCTGGGTATGGGAGTGGAGCTGCAGCACGTTGGACAAGAGTACGGCGTTTAGCTTGAGGTCCATATGGAACCCAACGTTCGATGACGATGTCACCTAAAATGAATAAATAATATGATAACAACGCTAGAACAAAGAGGCAAAAGAAAATGCTCACGTGGTCGTGGTGGAGGAGCTGGGAGCCGTTCAATGATGACCGATCGTGGTGGAACTGGGATACCAGGTAAACGACGAATGACTGTTTGAGATGCAATCACTGGTGGTGGTACTGGTGGTCGTTCACGGAGAACAAGTGGGGGTGGTGTTGGAAGAGGGGGAGCTACTTGACGAAGGCGAAGTGGTGGTGGAAGAGGTGGTTGAGGTGGTCGCACTTCTTTGATGATGAGTGGCTGAAAGAGAAAAGAAAAGAAAATTAGATATCATAATAAAGCTCATGATAAAGGATAGATATGACTTACGCCTGGGGGTGGAACAGGTGGTGGTTGAAGAAATTGAACTCGGATGTTTTGTGTGTATGTTTGAACACCAGTTGGATTTGGGCGACGAATGATTTGTGGGTTAGGATCTTGGTAGAGACCTTGAGCGTCAGCAGCATATTGAACTTGGCTGGCTCCCAATACAGCTGAATCCACAACTGATCCACCAAGAACAAGAGAAGCATCAGAAACACCAGTTGAGACTGTTTGGTAACCACCGGCAAGACCAGCACCAACAAGACCGCCACCAACAAGACCACCACCAACAGTGTATGATGCATCATAAGCACCACCGAGAGCACCAGCTACTCCTAAGTCATAACCTGAAGCACCAGCACCCCAACCAGTACTCCAACCAGCACCAGTACCCCAACCAGCACCGGTACCCCAACCAGCACCTAATGTTGATGCGTCCCATGATGTAGCAGCAGTACCAAGGTTTTGACCTTCAAAATACAATGATTGACATCAATAAATACATATACAATAACTACAGATATATTAACTTACCAACAAAGTTTCGGAATTCACCGAGATCTACACGTCCATCTTGGTTAGCATCGATTTGATTGAAGACAGCGTCAGAAGCAGACATGATTGTTTGTATTCTGTTAATGTGAGTAGAGTACTTACTGGTAAGAGTGAGAAGTGAAGAAAAGTTACCAGTAGATCAATGTTTATATAGGACCAGTTGATCATGCATGGATGGAGATAAAACAAAGGTAGTGGAGAGGGGGGGGGGGGGAAAGATAAACGACGGTATATTTTCGTTCGAGCGCATTACAGTTTTGCTTGTCAAGGTCGTTTTTTTGTACACCAAACAATGATTAGTGGACAAAAAAAGCGGTAGGCTAGAGGAGAAAGATAGTGAGGGAGAAAAATACAAAAATAGATATTCATAAATAATTTCGAGCCTCTAAGAGAAAGAGGAGAAAAAAAGATACAACCGTCGAATTGATGTTTACCGAATTCAATTGAATATCAAGGACAGTTTTAGTTTCACTTCATGCAAAGTGTATAGAATAATATAAAATTTATATGTATAAAATTATTTTTATACAGAAAGATAAGCTATTTAACATGAACTATGATTGTATGAAAGTGCTTTGAAATAAACCATACACAAGAAAGAAAGCGATTAGGTTTTTTTCTGAATAGCAATTGGTTATAATAAAAAAAAGCAATGATTCAGTGGTTTACCTGAACATGTGGCTTGCGGTGTTTACATGCTTAAAATAACTTGTTTTAGTCGATCGAAAATTTGTAATAGTATACTTTTGATGATGTTTGCATATTCATGGAATCATAGATGTCCAGTGATCGTACAAATAATAAAAAACTGACATAGGAGTCTAGTGTGTTTTGATTACAAGTGACAACTTGATTATTGTGAAACTAAACTATGAATATAATTAAAGTGAAAATATTTTTTTACGATTATTTTCTCTTTCTTGAGGATTGATTCTGAAGATAATTTATCTAAATTTCATTTTTTTTTTCGTATTAATGTATTTAAATAGTTGTCAAAGATATTCATCTCGACGACAATCATTTTGATCCAGTAATCAACAAAACAACAAGAATAGTTTATTTCTAATCGACAGCAAATAAATCCGATCAATGAGAATAAATTTTAAACTCTGTTAAATATAAAACTTATTGAAGTACGTGAACATGATATGATAGAAATAGTAATCAATGATATTGTCGAAAATATTAAACAATCTATAAAACTTGTTTGGAGATCAAATTATAAAACAAGGTCAAGTAAACAAAGTACCTATTGTATCACAAATACCAGATAGTAGTCTATTGAACATAATAGGAAAACTAATGAAGATCAGAACTATACGAATTGCTCAAAGTACTCGTATTCGACGGATCAGTACTCGTATATGTACTTGAGTATCCAGCACTCAAGGTTGAACATTGATAAGATCGTTTTCCGATTCCAAAATATATTAGTTTTTCACATGGAAATCATATCGATGACAACTTTCTAATATCACTGTAACGGTTCATTTCATAATGTCTCTCGATCGATTGTTCAAGTTACAGTCACCCTTTCTGGAAAGATACTCATGTTTTCCTTCACTCCGTAGGAGAACAAGAGTGTGAATTGAACAATTAATTCAGACGGATTATGGAATAAAGCTTTGCAGTGTAATCGAGTCTCAATCTCTAGATTGTTCTGAACTCAGAAACACGGACATATTTTGAGAGATGAAAAACGATCTTATTTGCTTTCATTCTTTGAAATAAAACGTGTCCCACAATAGTGGTATCAACTACCTCTTTCTGGCCTTCGAAGACGAGAAGAGCGTCGACTTATTCTAATCTCGATCTTATTTAAAAGTTTGCCTATTGATATTTGACAATTCAAGCTACCACGCCAATCAGCACCTATCCATTTAATTGTACTCTCAACTCCATTTTAGAGTGTAATTTTTGCCATGCTCGAACTCGATGATTTTGTTATTGTACATCAGAAAGTTCATATTCATCCAGCTCGGACGAAAATTCATCAGAATCATTTCACTACAGAAAAAATAAACAAAATTTATTTATGAATTGTTTTTTATTGTTTCTTACTTTCATAAGTATGTTTAAAGATACTATGAGAAGTTTCATTTTTAAGAATGTGTCTTTCCTTTCAAATTAATCATCAATATACAGTAATACTTATTTCTACTAATTATTAAATATAATCATATTTAACCAAAATTATTTATTATATTTAATAAACAAATTACTTGTTTCAATAAATTTCATTTCACTAAAAATACAATTGATACTCGATTCTTGTCAAATCCAAGTACATATAGGTAATACTTGTTTAACTATTAAATCTAGTTACTTACTTCAACATACTATTCAAATAACTTTAACATCAACAATATTTTCATAGTGAAAATCTTCTTCATTTTAACG